GTGTGTGTGTGTGTGTGTGTGTGTGTGTGTGTGTACTGTATGTATGTATACTCTGCTGTCTTGCTGGTCGTCTATCACAATATGGTATTTTCTGCAGAAGTCTTGTAGTCACTCATTAATTCAAATCAGATGTGTCAAAGCASTGAAATCTCTAAAACATGCAGGTTAGTGTCCCCTGAGGACCAGAATTGGACACCACTTGTTAATCAGTTCYGTGTAATGTGAAATTTCTCTAATGTTTTAAACTAAAATCAAATATAAAAAACAAATGCATAAATCCATGTTACGAGTGATTTCTTTTTGACACATCAWATAATCAACTCCTGCATTTATGTGACTATAGATGTTGATCCAGACAAGAGATTTTGTGATGGAACCGAAGACATAAAATGGCTCAAAAGCCCGTACACTGAGCCATCTCCATTAAGGGTTACTAACATGGTGTACAAGGCTGTTTATGCTATAGCTCATGCCATTCACAATGCAGTGTGTGAGGAAACACATTCCAACATTAGTTGTGATAAATACATCACATTAACACCTAAGCAGGTTAGTTTAAAGAGATACTCTATTAATTTTTATGCTTGACTGATCATCATTTAATGTGAGTTAWTTTTTTTTTCTGATTTGTGTTCCTACGGTTTTTTATATCTCAGGTTTTTACTGAACTAAAAATAGTGAACTTCTCCAAAAATGGTAATCCTGTGTCATTTGATACTAGCGGGGATCCTGTGGCTTTTTATGAGCTGGTCAACTGGCAGAGAAGACAGAATGGAGTTATGGAGTTGGTGACAGTAGGATATTATGATGCATCACTGCCAAAAGGGCAGGAGTTTTATATCATTAGCAATATATCCTGGGTGGAGAGTGGCACACAGGTACAGGGCCGAATGACTTTTTTTTTCGAAATCAATGTGTTAAACTTTTTGTCAACTATTTTCAAAGCAGTTTATGAATTTATCTGGATTTGTAACAGGTACCAGTGTCAGTGTGCTCTGAGAGTTGTCCTCCAGGAACTCGTAAAGTGTTGCAGAAAGGAAAACCCATCTGCTGTTATGATTGTATACCATGTCCTGACGGAGAGATCAGTAACACAACAGGTGAATACAGCATTTTTATGACGTTTTTACAAGTGACATCAAATGTTCACCATCTTCTATAAAAATTGTAGTAGAAAAAACTCAGTTCTAACAGGCAATTTGAATTCATTATGCAGATTCTCCTGATTGCTTCACATGTCCCAGTGAATTCTGGCCTAATACAGAAAGAGACATTTGTTTTCCCAAACTTGTAGAGTTTCTGTCTTTTGATGAAGTCCTGGCAATCATCCTGGCTGCATTCTCTGTTATTGGAGCCTGTCTGACAATCATAACAGCAGTTATTTTCTTTCGTCACAGAACAACTCCTGTTGTTAAAGCCAACAACTCTGAGCTGAGCTTCTTGTTGCTCTTCTCTCTGACTCTGTGTTTCTTATGTTCATTAACTTTCAT